AAATGCTTACTGAATTAACTGAATAAATGGATTACTTAAAACCGGTGATAATTTTAAGCTGTGTCATTCTCTCTTTAGAATTTTCCAGAACCATTAGAGGAAAAGAATTTCATTTTCTTTTTTTTTTTTCCTTAATGTTTGTTTTGAGAGAAAAAACCGCATGCACAACAGAGAAGGAATAGAGAGAGGGAGACAGAGAATCCGAAGCAGGCTCCATGCTATCATTTTCCTGTTTTGTTTTGTTGTTGTTTTTTTAGTAACTTTTTATTGTGGAAATTTCCAACGATATAGAAAAGTAAATAGAATAGGATAGTGAACCTCCATGAAGCCATCACTCAGTTTCAACAATGTTGAGAATCTGTTTTCAATCCCCACTTAATTTTTTCCTGGAATATCTTAAAATTCCAGACATCATGATTTTATTTACTTTATTTATTTTTTTTTCATTTTTTTTCAACGTTTTTATTTATTTTTGGGACAGAGAGAGACAGAGCATGAACGGGGGAGGGGCAGAGAGAGAGGGAGACACAGAGTTGGAAACAGGCTCCAGGCTCTGAGCCATCAGCCCAGAGCCCGACGCGGGGCTCGAACTCACGGACCGCGAGATCGTGACCTGGCTGAAGTCGGACGCTTAACCGACTGCGCCACCCAGGCGCCCCGAAAGCAACATCTTTAACTGCTCTGTCTATTGCTGTATCACCAGGACCTAGAACAGTGCCCAGCACATCATAAGAACTTAATAAATGTGGGGTGCCTGGGTGGTACAAGTCGGTTGAAAGTCCAACTCTTGATTTCGGCTCAGGTCATGATCTCAGGCTTCATGAGTTCGAACCCCACATCGGGCTATGCCCTCAGCGCAAAACCTGCTTGGGATTCTCTCCCTCTCTGTCTGCCCCTTCCCCACTCAGGCACACTATCTCTCCCAAAATAAATATTTTTTTCAAAACCTAATAAATGCTTACTGAATTAACTGAATAAATGGATTACTTAAAACCGGTGATAATTTTAAGCTGTGTCATTCTCTCTTTAGAATTTTCCAGAACCATTAGAGGAAAAGAATTTCATTTTCTTTTTTTTTTTTCCTTAATGTTTGTTTTGAGAGAAAAAACCGCATGCACAACAGAGAAGGAATAGAGAGAGGGAGACAGAGAATCCGAAGCAGGCTCCATGCTATCATTTTCCTGTTTTGTTTTGTTGTTGTTTTTTTAGTAACTTTTTATTGTGGAAATTTCCAACGATATAGAAAAGTAAATAGAATAGGATAGTGAACCTCCATGAAGCCATCACTCAGTTTCAACAATGTTGAGAATCTGTTTTCAATCCCCACTTAATTTTTTCCTGGAATATCTTAAAATTCCAGACATCATGATTTTATTTACTTTATTTATTTTTTTTTCATTTTTTTTCAACGTTTTTATTTATTTTTGGGACAGAGAGAGACAGAGCATGAACGGGGGAGGGGCAGAGAGAGAGGGAGACACAGAATCGGAAACAGGCTCCAGGTTCCGAGCCATCAGCCCAGAGCCTGACGCGGGGCTCGAACTCATGGACCGCGAGATCGTGACCTGGCTGAAGCCGGACGCTTAACCGACTGCGCCACCCAGGCGCCCCTGATTTTATTTACTTTAAAAAAAAAAGTTTAAATTTATCTGTTTCAAAGGTGGGGTTTTTTGGGGTTTTTTGTTGTTTTTGTTTTTGTTTTCTACATTTGATTAGAGTCAGGATTCTAACAAGTTTCACACCTTGTACTTAGTTGGTATGTCATTTTAAGTCTCAAATTATGAATTCTGCTTTCTTAGTTTATGCCATTTATTTATTGAATAAGTCAGATTATTTGTCATGTAGAATTTCTCACATTCTGAATTTGGTGATTGCCTCATCTTTGTGGTGATGTTTAGCGTGTTCCTCCTCTGCTTTGTTTTGTTTGTTTTGTTTTTGTGAACTGATAGATTTAAGAAGCTTGATTAGATTCAACTTCCATTTTTTTGGTAAGAATACATCATAGGTTGCACAGGGTACTTTTTATTGTATTACAGTAGGGGTTTGTGTCGTCCACTTTTAACAAGCAATGTTAACGTTGATCATTGAGTTCCAGATCACCCTGATCCATCCATTATAAAGTTATGTCTTAGCCTTTCATCTAATGGTTTTAGCAACCATTGATGATGATTGCCTAGATCTATTATTTCATTAGGGGTTGAAAATTGGTGTTTTTTTTTTCCTAATCCATCTGCATTTAAAAATTTTTTTAATTTAAATTTCAGTTAACATACAGTGTTATATTAGATTCAGGTGAATCAGTATAGTGATTCAGCAATTCTGTGCATTACTCAATTCTCATCATGATGAGTGTACTTTTTTTTTTTAATTGTTAAGTTTGTTTATTTATTTTGAGAGAGAGAGAGAAAGACTCCGTCAACGCAGAGCCCAGTGCAGGGCTTGATCTCACAAACCATGAGATCATGACCTGAGCTGAGATCAAGAGTTGGACCCTTAATGGACTGAGCCACTGAGGCACCCCATGATGAGTATACTCTTAATCCCCTTCGTCTGTTTTCACCCATCCCCCAACCCAACTCCCCTGTGGTAACCACCAATTCTCTGTAGTTAAGAGTCTGTTTCTTGGTTTGTCTGTCTCTTTTTTCCCTATGCTTGTTTGTTTTGTTTTTTAAATTCCACATTGATTAGCTAGAATGTTTCTATAATGAAGAAATTTTCTTTAACTTTTTCATCACCTAGAAATATAGTTGGTACAGGAAAGGCAAGATAATTGCTTGATTCTTTCCATTTATTGTTTTTCATATATGTTGTGTTCTTAGTAACTTGCAAAGGTGACTAGTTGTTTTTTTTTTAATGTATTGGATATTTCACATACTTACTTTTCAATTCATTGCATTATTTATTTTTAGTGCTCATATTATCCCATTTTTAGCCATTAGGGATCCCATCAGGTTGGCTTTTCTGTCCTTTGACATGATACAGTTATTTTCATAGCTTGTTGACTGTTTCCCAAACTTACATTTAAGGTTATAGGACTTTAAATTAATTTCTTTAAATTGTATATTAGTGTCTATTTTATCAATATTTAAAGTCTTAGTTCTTAATGACATTTATATATTTTTTTATTTTCTCTCTCTCCTACGAGGTGATTATAATTATATAACTCTTATACAATACAGAACCAAAGCTAAGGATACAACACAAACTTTACTGTGTTAGGGAACCCAGTCTCTTTCTCTCTCTCTCTCTTTTTTTTTTTTTTCTTTATAGCTGGTTCACCAAATGCTTGTGGGATGAAAAAAAATATGTGGCAGGAGTTTGTACAAAAATAATTCTTGGTTACATGACCTAATGTCATTTTTTTTGTGTTTTTTTGTTTTTTTACCTAATATCATTTATAAAAGGTTGGACATCTGTAAGTAGAGGGCTTTTGCTGCCATTGTTCAACAGCAATAGTGTATAAAGGTATTATATACTAAGGACTCAATAAGTACTTTTTAAAAAAATTTTATTCTAGATTTGGGGGACTTTAAGTGTAGGGTCTCTGTAGGTTAGAATCCTAAAAGAATAGTGTGTCCAGAGGCCTTTGTATTAAGAAAAGCAATGACCTATGTTTACCTCTTAGAAACTTATTTTTGCTCCTTTTCTAGAGGGAGCCACATTCTCCAAGCAACGCTAATTGAGTTCTCCCACTCTCAGATTAAAGTTTGAATATGAGGGGTGCTTGGGTGGCTCAGTCAGTTGAGCGTCTCACTTTGGCTTAGGTCATGATCTCACAGTTTGTGAGTTTAAGCCCTGCCCTGGGCTCTCCGCTGTCAGCACAGAGCCCTCTTCATATCCTTTGTCCCACCCCCACCCTCACCCCTGCTCCTTCCCTGCTCTACTTACGCTATCTCTCAAAATAAAAAAATAAACTTAAAGTAGTTTGAATATGAAAATGGGTTCTGTTAATACAGAGGCAACATGAAGTTATTTGGTGCTGATACTTCTTTAATACCACTGAGAAACTGACTTGGTTTACTTTTTTTTTTTTTCCAGATGATGGGCATAATAAGAAAGCTCGAAATGCTTATCTCAATAATTCCAATTATGAAGAAGGAGATGAATATTTTGATAAAAACCTGGCACTCTTTGAGGTAATATTTGGGAGAAGACTAGGGCAGAGATTTCAGGAATAGAGATTTCAAGATCGCTGTTTTCTATCCCATTTAGTTTTAAAACAGTACAGCCTGGATACTTTTAAGAATTAATTGTTAAAGTATAATACTTATGATAACTTGTCATTATAGTTGATTTATTTATGTAATCTAATGATCACTAATAAGTACCATTAAATCAAATTTCTGAGTATTGAGGAAGAATGTTGACATTCTTCCTCAATATGGGGGACCTTGCTATCTAATTCATCTAGGATGTGAATATTTGCATTATCTACAAAGTGTAGAATAGTGAGTTTTTCAATCTGTGTTTGGGAGGACTATCACTTACCTTAGAACTACTAAATCAAAAATCGGTGTAGGAAGTAGGCTGCTAGATTAAGAGGACCTTGTAGGTCTTAACCTGAGACCCTACGGACTCTGACGGCATCTGCAGGCAGGTTCTTGAAAGGAACCTACTTTAGTCCCGCCTTTGTTTCTGGCTTTGGACAGTGATGTGAATGTTAGTTCTCTCAGCATACTTATCTTTTAAATGATATTTTCTTTCAGCTTACTTGAAGAAAAGATCTGTGGTGAATATTTACTTCAGTCACAAAAGGCTTTTTTCTTTTAATGTTTGTTTATTTTTGAGAGAGAACACAGCTGTGCGTACGAGACAGGGAGGGGCAGAGAGAGAGGGAGAGAGAATCTCAAGCAGGTTCAATGTAGGGCTCGATCTCACAAACCACGAGATTATGACCTGAGCTGAAATCAAGAGTCAGACCCTTAACTCACTGAGCCACCCAGGTGCCCCTCAGTCACAAAAGTTTTTTAATGAGCTATCCGTATGTGCTGCAATAAATAATAGCCCTAAATTTTGTTAGAATGTTGGTAGCCTAAAGAAAGGGGCACTGTAGTTAAAGATAATATTACCAACATTTTTTACAAGGTTACAGCTGTCTGTAGGGGCCAGTGTGATTTTGTTTTTACTGTAAAGTTAAGCTATTAGAAAGAATCCTAAAGCTTTTCACTTAAAAATCTTATAAGGATTCATGTAGCCCTGATTAAGTGATATTTTACCTTGGGAGGAAAAGAAAGCCTCACTGATGAATTGTCTTAAAATATTTATCTGTGAAATATTTTCTTATTTAATTTGCAATTTTCTGATACATGGGCCATTTTGATGCTTATGCTTCCAGTGTTCTTCATTACTCATCTCTTCCATGTTTACGACTTTATAGGAAGAAATGGACACAAGACCAAAGGTATCTTCTCTCCTCAACCGTATGGCCAATTATACTAATCTGACACAAGGAGCGAAGGAACATGAAGAGGCAGAGAACATCACTGAGGGGAAAAAGAAGCCCACCAAGGTGAGGCCTTAGGATAACAATGATAAATAAAAAGAGTCCCATATATAAGAAAGGAGGAACTATCCAGGGCATCACTCTGTGCTCCGTAACTAGTGAATGCTTGCTTTAAGCCAGGCACTGTTCTGGGCACCGGGGTCATAGCAAAAAGAGAACCTACAACGTCCTGCTCTCATGCAGTCCGAATTCTGGTATGAAGAGATAGTTGTTAAACTGTATATTAGATGTTGATAAATGCTCTAACAAAAATATAAGCAGGGACAAATAGTAGCTACACTTGTGGCATATCATAGGCAGAGACTTGTCAGATCACTATGTTGTACGCCTGAACCAGTGTAACATTGTGTGTCAACTATACTTCAGTAATTAATTTTTTTTAAGGCAGGCTAAAGAGACTGCAACTGGCCAGCAAGAAAGCCAGGGCAGAAGGGGTTGCTGTTGGAGAGAGGTTAGTCAGGGAAAGCCCTTCTGACGGTGATATTTGAGCAGAGACCTAACCAATGTGAGACAGTGAGCCTGGTTGGGAGAAGACCGTTGCAGGAAGAGGAAATAGCACTTCAGAAGAGGAGTGTCCACGCCCACCTGCTGATGCCATCTCTCTGTGGTGAAGTGGTTGGGTTTTTCAAAGACTACATTTCAGTTTTTCTCAAAATGAAAATACGGAACAAGGTAGCTTCCTGGTTGTTCAGGAATTAAATGACCCTCAGATCTTCATTTTACCAACTGTATTTACCAGCTACTATGAAAGATTTATACCACATTCTAAAGGAATTCCATCAAGTCATTATTCAGTTTAGATGAAAAGGGAAAGCTGATAGCTTCAAAGTACAGAACATTTTAAAAGGGGGGGATTGTGGTTAAATACTTATGTAAAAACATATGGGGACCTGTGTAAAGTAAAAATGTATAGTTCTAGGACTATTAAAAAGTATGGTGATTGACATTTATTAGATGGAGATTTTATATGTGCCTCTTCTAGGATATTCTGATTATCTCTGCCTAATAATTAATATGGTAGTTGGGAGCAAATTTTTATACACAAGTAAAGGGATAAAAGCATAGCTTCCAGATGACTATATAATTTTTCTTTTGTCAACTTTCTTTCCAGACCCCTCAAATGGGTACTTTCATGGGTGTCTACCTCCCCTGTCTACAAAATATTTTTGGAGTGATCTTGTTTCTACGCCTTACATGGGTTGTGGGCACGGCAGGCGTTCTTCAGGCCTTCGCAATCGTCCTTATCTGCTGCTGCTGTGTAAGTCCTGAGTTGGCTCTTAGAAATCACCTGGAACGTTGCAAGAGCTCAAGATTATATGCACTTGACCTGTTTGAGAATAAAACAAAGGCTAATAGGGGAAGACTCATGATCTCAAAAGGAGAGATTATTTTGATATTAAAATCTGAAGGATTTTCAGTTATTTAGGGCCCACTCTTCACTGCTTAGATCTATAATATGATGTACTAGAAATTACAAAGGAAGACTTCTTTCTGGAGGGAGTAGGAGATGTAGTCCTTGACTTCAAAGAATTCAGAATACAAACCACTTGTATTGATGGCACCAAAGTTGTGATAGAAAATGATGCCGCACTACTCCAGTATAGTATGGAGAAACAAAATGGATTGTTGTTTAGGGTGAGGGGCATTTGTTTTGTTTTCAAGTCTCATCTGTTCTCCCTTCCCTAGAAATTCAGGTGTGTTTTCCAGGTCCTCTCCCCACTGTACTGAGAACATTCTGATCTTCCTTGAATTTAAACTCCTCTTATGCATTATAAGTTGATTATTATAAAAAATGTATTTTTTTGTTCTGTTACCTGCTGACCTCTTTCATTTCTATCATTATTATACCCTCCTTGTGCATTAGGCTCACTGAGTACATACAAAGCAGGATAAGCAGAGATAGTTCCTATCATTAATAAATTAAAATTAACAGTACTACCTCCCCCCCCCCCCCCCCCTTTTTGTTTTCTTAGTCTTAAAACTTCAAGGTCATGTTTGGCTCCTTGGTCACCTCTCACATCTAATCAGCTACCAGTGTCAATCAAGTCTCCCTCTGAAATCTCTTACCTACAACCCTTCCTTTATATTCCTGTTTTTTCACTGAACTATAATAGCCTATTAACAAGTCACTCTGTCTTCATCTGCTCCCTGTCTGCAGTCCATTCTATACTCTGTTGCTCCCAGGCAATGTTTTCAAAATATAGTTTTTATTAGTTCAGAAGTCTTCAGTGGTTCCCTTCCTTACTGAATATTGTTCTTGTAATATCTAGTCCTTAGTCAGTTTCCAGTCTGTTTTCCAAGTTAACTAGGAGACCAGGGTGAGATCAGGGGTTTCTACTAGCCCCTAACCTACTGATTATAACATAGAACCATTTTAACAGAATACTCAAGATGATAGTAATTTGACTAGTGCAATGAGTTGAACCACATCATATTTCCATGCTATTAGGTATGACATCCAACTCCGTCCATAAAGTATGTAGAGTTAATTATTCAAACAGTGCTCTGAATTCCACAGATGGGAAGATAGTACAGAAATGTCATCTTTATAACAGTAACAGTCTTCTCCTTTCACTTCCTTTACAGACAATGTTGACTGCTATCTCCATGAGTGCCATTGCCACTAATGGAGTGGTGCCAGGTCAGTTGGCTAAGATTGCATTTCAGGGATTGTCAACAATTACTGTATGTTTATGCTGTGAAGCCAGAGGTGCAAACTTCCAAGGGACAGAGTACTATTTAGTCTGTTGGTCATAGGCATTCACACTCTTTGACTTTAGAATACATTCTTTAAGTCTCTTTATGTCCTAAACTAGGGGAACCTCACTCACTGTTGGTGGGAATAGCATCTGATCCAGCCACTCTGGAAAACAGTATGGAAGTTCTTCAAAAAATTGAAAGTAGAAATACCATATAATCCAGTAATTTCATTTCTGGGTATTTACCCAAAGAAAATGAAGACACTAGATCAAAAAGATATAGGTGCCCTTATGTATAGTGCTGTATTATTTACAATAACCAAGATATGGAAGCAACCTAAGTGTTCATCAATAGATGAATGAATACAGAAGTTGTGGACACATACACACAAAATAGAATATTACTCATCCATCAAAAAGAATGAAATCTTGCCATTTGCAACAACACAGGTGAACCTAGAGATCCACTCATGCAAATGAAATAAGTCCAAGAAAGACAGATGCCATATGATTTTACTTATATGTGGAATCCAAATAAATAAATAAACAGACAAACAAAAACAGAGACTCATAAATACAAAGAACAAACTAGTGGTTGTCCAGGAAAAGAAGAGTAGAGGGATGAGCAAAATAGGTGAGAGGGAGGGAATAAGAGTTACAAACTTCCGGTTATAAAATAAATAAGTCATGGGGATGAAAACTGCAGCATAGGGAATACACTCAATAATATTGCAGTAACATTGTATGGTGACAGATGGTAACTGCACTTACTATGGTGTGCTTAATGTACAGAATTGTCAAACCACTATGATGTTGTACTATACCATTTATTAAAGTCAACCATACTTCAATTAAAATAAAAAGGAAAAAAATCTCATCATGTTCTAAGCTAGAAGTCTTAATTTGTATCACATTCCTATCTTCTTTTAGTTAGGATATATATTATGGGGCTATCTCATGCCTGTAGTAAATATTCCTTGATATTTATCTAAGTAATACTGACAAGTTGAACTAGTTGGTGTGGAGCATTAGCTATGTAGTATATTAGAAAGGTTTTATCCTTTATTTCCCATTAGCAAATATACTTTTTATCAAAACATTGAGAGTTTTCAAAAGCTTGAAGCATTTATTCTTCTTATTTATGACTTTGCTTACATTCTTCTTACCGGTGTACTTTCTTTATCCTGCTTACATTGTTTTGTCTTTTAGCTGGAGGCTCATACTTCATGATTTCCCGGGCCCTGGGCCCAGAGTTTGGTGGGGCTGTTGGCCTCTGCTTTTATCTTGGTACCACATTTGCAGCAGCCATGTATATCCTTGGTGCCATTGAAATTTTTCTGGTGAGTAATGGCTTAATTGTGGTCTACAGTGTAGAAAAGATAGAGATTTGGATTTATTTTGTTGTTTGATAGCAAAACTTCTGAGAGATCCGCTGTAGAATCAAACAAGTGATTCACTGTTAACTTGTCATTGACTTCCTGTTGTGAGTATAAGTCAGAATGGTTGAAAGTATCCACTGCCTGTCTACTGCTTCCCTTCCACCCGTTTACTAACACCCTACCCACCTCACCAAGAAGTGGAAGTCGTGAGGCAAGACACACTAACAGGGAAAAAGTAAAGTTTATCTTTTGTCATATCTTTATCCCCCAAAAATAAAATGTTTTTCATTTCTTTATTCACTGGATTATTATTATTTTTTTTTTTTTTACTGTTTAAAATGATAGGTAAGTAGGAATAATAAGGTAGGACCTAAGGTAATCATTATAATTATTTTACATAACCCTTCGAATAAATTATTAATGCATTCTTTGCTGTTTCCTTTGGGAAATGCAGATATTCAGAACAACATGTAGCCTTAAAAAAAAAAAGATCAGTGCTATCCAGTTTTTGCAGGAATAGGTTAAGTCTCCAGTCATTTTCTATCTTAGCTTTTCTTTACTTTATGAAAATAAATGCAAATTACAACAGCCCTTTTACTTGACTATAAAATGACCTCATTTTCTACTTCTTTCACTTAACAGGTATATATTGTCCCCCGAGCTGCCATCTTTCGTAGCGATGATGCACTCAAGGAATCAGCAGCCATGCTAAATAACATGCGTGTCTATGGCACCGCGTTCTTGGTTCTCATGGTATTGGTGGTATTCATCGGTGTGCGCTATGTGAACAAGTTTGCCTCACTTTTCCTGGCCTGTGTCATTGTGTCCATCTTGGCCATCTATGCTGGAGCCATCAAGTCTTCTTTTGCCCCTCCACACTTCCCGTATGTGTCTGCCTCTTACCGGCCATCATTACTGGGTAGTCATTGACAATATCTGGTGATGTGACCACTTCAAGTACAATTTCACAGTGTCCCTGAGATTTCACTTGTGGATAAGCTCAGTTAGCATCTAGGCAGGAAGCCTCCCTGCAAACTATGTCATGTCAATCCTCTTCCTTATGTCCCAGGCATAGAACTGGCAGCTGTAACCATCATTTGGATGTAGATACTGAGTTTTGTTTTAAAACCTCCTTATAATGGTTGTGCTTGCTTAAACTATTCATGAAGAGCTTTACAAATAATATAGTTATTACCGGCAAGCTTTGTAAAGTATTCAAAAGTTGGATTCCTGTTATTAATGAAATATCAAGAGAGTCAAAGAAACCTTAGCTCCTATTTAAATATTTGTAATTACCCTTTTTATTTTGCTGTTAATATCATAGCAGACTTTCTACTTGTAAAATAAAGAGGAATACATGTCACATTTGCATATATATCTCTCTAGAGAGATTGTATTCCTTACCATAAGTAGTACAAGTACATTAAAGTATATTTTTTGAAGTAGCAATGGATTTGTACAGATAGGTGACTCCCAGGTCACCTGTTCTCTGTTTGACTAGTGGCATAGGGACTAACCAGCACTGAGTGTTTGTAATCTTGCTACAGAGATTGTCTTTAAGAAGCATCTGGATTATCAGGTATCAAACTTATCAGTCCTATGTTCATTAAACCTGATTACAGAAAAATAGTTGTTTCAAGATGAAAAGACAGATCCATAGAGATTAAATGACTTGCCCAAAAGTTAGTTAATGGCAGAGCACAAACATGAACACTTTGATTTCCTAACCCCTGGTGCAGTATTTCTTCTACTATGCTAAATGATGTCAGTGATAAATTCCATCATCAGTTTTTAGTCTGCTCATTTATGGGCTACAACTAGCCGAAAGTACTGAAGGCTACTGGATGTCTTCACTTGAGAAATTCCACTTTGTCTTAAGTTCTTCTTTGAGTCTTCTCTCTTTTGGTGGGTAAAAGGTCACGATGTGTGGTATTTTCTTTAAAATATTCCAGCAAAACAAGACAGAATTCCCTAGAGGAACACTAAACCAGACTGTGCAGTGTTGAGTTATCGAAGCTGAGTAATGGGTACATGGCTCATTATACATGTATGCTGTCATTTTGCAGATTTGAAAAGTTGCTTTGTTCCTCTTGAGAGTTACTTTAACTGTGGGTGTATTGTTCTTTTGTTCATATTTATAGCTCCGGGTTAAAGAAAAAAATAAAATCAGCAGTTATTATTTGTAATATCCTTAAATACCCTCACTCCCACTGGGTCTAGGCTTATGTTCAAAAATAGTTTTCTCTTAGGCCATAGTGGGATGTGCCTTCTATTTCAGCCAAGCTGTTTTTCTCAAAACGGTAGCCAGAAAGTTTGACCTTTAGCAGAATATTTTCAAAGGGGTTTTTAGGAACATAAGGCTTTTCTAGGCCAAAAAAATAGGGGAAAATTTTTTTTGTCAGAAGAACAAAAGGACTCTGGGATTCTTTTAGGCCTAACAATTGGTTAATAACCTAGAAAATTTGGAAGATGAGTAAGTACTGTGTCTTCAGATAGTTTTTGTATTTGAATTCTGTCACTACCACTCGAGTAGACTGCTTTATCTCCCTAAACTTCAGTTCCTCCATCCACAACATGGAAATACTCATGCATATTTTGTGAGATGGCTGTGAGGATTAAATTGCAGAAAATTTAAATCCCCATTTACAGAATGAGTCAATAAATGTTAGTTCTTTTCCCATCCATGACAGTGAAAGCTCTTAGAGATGAGGTGTTTTGTTTTAACTTTGCTAATCTAATTTACTAACCTATTTCTAACCTATCTTCTTTTCTTAAACGTTTTTCCCCCTTGCTTCATCTTTCTCTCTCTTTTCACGTAGGGTCTGCATGCTGGGTAACCGCACCCTTTCATCAAGACACATTGATATTTGCTCTAAGACCAAGGAAATTAACAACATGACAGTACCATCAAGGTTATGGGGCTTCTTCTGTAACTCAAGTCAGTTTTTCAATGCCACCTGTGATGAATACTTTGTTCACAATAATGTCACTTCAATCCAGGGCATTCCTGGATTGGCTAGTGGTGTCATTACAGGTAAGTTAGGAGGTATTTGAACAAGTTTTTTATTTGTTTCTGAGGAAAGCGGGCCTTTCAATCTTAGACTCTTATATTGTCCATGACGCCTCACTGCCATTGTATCACTTCCCTGCTTAAGCTCAGCACACAGCTCCTAATTCAGCTTCTTTCTGCTCTTCTGTTAGTGAACTTCTCCTTTTTCAGGACTCCTTGCGGTGTTTTCTGTTAAAATTTCCCACCTTTAGAGAGCAGAGCTAAGCCAGTCGCTTTTTGAACTGGGATAAAGTAATAAAATATTCTGTGTTACTGTAAAGTTGCCAATGTTCTTCCCACAGTGACAGCTAGAATGGAACTATTTCAGTGTCCCCACATGCACATGTGTGTTTTCCTAACTCAGCCCGATTTCTGAAGCTCTTTGCTTAAGTGACTTCTGTCTTAAATGTTTGGTCCACAATTTCTTTGCATGTAAGCAGGTTTACACTAAGGTGTTAGAAATAGCATTGACTACTAATTTTTAGAAAATAGGCTTTGCGGGGCACCCATCTTTAGTCTGAATAACTTTTACTAATTTGCATTTGTAAATTTAACTGTATTTGTATGTACCAAAGCCTTTTGTCAAATTACCTTTGAACCATTTGAAAAAGAGCATTAGGTTTTTATTTGTGCTTTATTATGTAATATATACATGTGCTCATGTAGAAACAAACATACCTTCAAACACTAGAAATGAGGAATCTGATTTAGAATGTTGTTTAGGTAGAAAATGAATTACCTTCTTTCCATACTTCTGTTGCTTATATACCTTTTTCTTCCCTCTACAGAGAATCTTTGGAGTAATTACCTACCAAAGGGAGAGATCATTGAAAAGCCCTCAGCCAAATCTTCTGATGTCTTGGGCAGCTTAAACCATGAGTATGTCCTTGTTGACATCACCACCTCTTTTACTCTTCTGGTGGGGATCTTCTTTCCTTCTGTCACAGGTAAGCAGAAGGGCTGTTATCTATTTTAGAAGTTATCAGACCCAGAGAGTGATTTTCCTTAAGACACAGGTTTCTCAGATACCAGTCTTTGGTATCAGTATGAATATCAAAGTGTCCAGGAACTAAGAAATTAACTTGTTCTTTTTTCCTTCTCTAAAGGTATCATGGCTGGATCAAACAGATCTGGAGATCTGAAAGATGCTCAAAAGTCTATTCCCATTGGCACTATCCTCGCCATCCTGACCACCTCCTTTGTCTGTATCCTTGTCATGAATCCAATTTGAGTTTTAGTCATAGGCACATCTGTGGAATGAGGGCCATCAATATTTTTATCCTAGTAATAAAGATGTCTGCTTTCTATCAGCTCACTTCTCACTAGATAATCTACCCACCTCATCTCTAAAATTCAAGGAAAAATTTACAATAGTGAATCTACCAACTAATTTTACTGATAGAAGAAATATCCTGTGTGTCTGCTTACTATTTCAGAGGGTTAGAGGTCAGTTTCCTTGACTCTCAGTATGGTAGATTTAAGCAATGTTGTCCTTTTTGGTGCCTGTATTGAAGGTGTTGTTCTCAGAGACAAGTGAGTAGTTGATTTCTTTGTAATATTTGTGTGTCTGTCTTCCAGTATATCAGATCACTGCCCCCAAGATGGTCATAAACTCAAAACCTAACCTGAGGTTTATATCGTGACTAACAATTAGAAAATATATGTATATAGTTCCCAAAAAGGTTAGTGAATAATAAGTACTAGTTACATTGTTATAAATAAGTGAGATGCCATGAATATAGCTCTTTCATGAAGTAGTGAATTTGTCTGAATAACAAGGACTTGTCTGTAGTACATTAAAAGCTGTTGGAAAACTAAGACCAAAAGTAGAGGAAAGCACGTTAAAAAAACAAACAAAACAAAAACTTTGAAGTGTCTCTAGCATCTCTTTCTAGCATCTCTTCTATGAGATATAAGTATGTGTCTGTTTAGCATTCTAAATAAAATGTTGGAATTTTCTTCATTTCGTTCATGAAGGCTGCTGGGTGTTTTTCCTTTCCTCACACCTATGAGCAAAAAACAAGTTTTTGTAAGAGATTCTTAGAAAAATCTTTCCCCTAAATCTGCTAGATCTCTTCCCATTTTCCCCGTCTGGAGGAATTACAAGCCTCACCATTCACCCTTTCTCAAAACAGAAATGTAGGTGCCATCCTAGACTTTCCCCAGTTCCCTCATCCAGTTGGTTTCTAAGCCCTGTGAATTCCACCTTTCATCTTAATAGATCTCCTTTTCGCTCTTTATCCCCATCCCTTTGCACAGACCTTCAGGATCTTTTTCCTGGATTATTGTAATTACCTCTCTTTCAGTTTTATCACCTTCTAATCCTTCTTCCATGCTGCCACCAGAATGATTTTTCTACAACACAAAATGAGATCATTTTCCTGCTTCACAGCCTGCCAAGCCCATTACTTCAGTCCGGCCCTGTTTACCTTTTTCTTATGTCATCTCCCATCATTCCCTCATAAAGTCCACATGCTCTAGCCATAACTTGAAGTTAAATATGCCTTGTTTCCGATTCCCATCCAGCCACACATTTGTCTGTGCAGTTTCCTTTGCTTAGAACGGGTAACTCCCGCCTGGCAGCCACATGAATCCTTGAAGACTAGACTAAATGTCTTCTGTCCTGTGAAGCTTTCCCATACTTAACCATCAGAGATACCCACTCCCCTCCTTGTTTAGCCACTACAGTATTACACTTACCATATATATGTATCGTAGCTTTTCATATCACTCTCCCTGACTAGATTGAGTTCTTTTAGGACAGGAACCCCAGTAAATAATATATACATATTGCTGACAAAAATAAGTAGCACAGTTTACTATTACTATACCATTGTCACTGAAAATATATGGGTTCGTAGAGGTTTGGTAAATTACACCATAATATAAAAAGTATTGAAAGTATAAGCTGGAATACCACTTTGGAAAACTGTTGGTCATTGTCTCCTAAAGTTGAACATGCATGTACCTTATGACCTGGCACTTCCACTGCTAGGTAGATCCAACAGAAATTCATGCACATGTGCGTTAAGAATCATGCCCAAGAATTCTCACAGCAGTATTGTTACTAATAGTCAAAATCTGGATATAGTTCACATGTCATCAGTAGTAGAATGGGTAAGTTATGTATTCATGCAATGGGAAATCAGAGCAATGAAAATAAATAAGCCACAGCTATATATACACCCACACAAAAGGATGAATTTCAGAAAGTTAAGTGAAAGAAACCAAGCACAAAACACATATATTGTGTTTCATTTATTTAAAGTTTAAAAACAGGTAAAACTACATAGTATTAACAGGATAGTGATGGGGGAAGGGCTAGTGATAGCAAGTGGGCATAAGAGAGACTGGGGTTCTGGCAGTTTTCTCTTTCTTGACTAGATAGTAGCTACATAGATGGTTTGTGAAAATTTATTGAAATGTACATTTGTTTTTTGCACATTACTTTTTGTGTGTGATTCTTAATAAAAATGGTTGAAACCAAAAATAAACAGATGAGATGCCATGTTTCACCCATCAAATTAGCATTGACTTTTAAAATTTTAATATAAGGCTGGTGTGAAATAGATACATGCTATAAAACTTAAACCTTCATATACGTCCAGTGGGAATAAAATTTATTATAACCTTTCTGGAAAGAAGTTAGATAGTGATTTTGAAATATTTTAAGATATTGAAATGCGATTTCATCCTTTTTATTGCGATGACTACCTCTTAGAAATCTGCCATAAGGAAAAAAAACCTGAAGTGCGAATGTAGATATGTGCACAAAGATGTTAATCACAGTATTTTCTATAATACAAAATAACCACTAGAGGAATGGACTGTGTAAATTATGATGCAATATTATTAAAACCACTAAGATTTTCATTCATAAAGAGCTTTTCATGACATAGGAAAATGTAAGTTTAAAAAGAATATGGAATTATAGGTATAGTGTGATCTCCTCTATATTTTAAAAAACATAGTAAAGAGGGGCACCTGGGTGGCGCAGTCGGTTAAGCGTCCGACTTCAGCCAGGTCACGATCTCGCGGTCCGTGAGTTCGAGCCCCACGTCAGGCTCTGGGCTGATGGCTCAGAGCCTGGAGCCTGTTTCCGATTCTGTGTCTCCCTCTCTCTCTGCCCCTCCCCCGTTCATGCTCTGTCTCTCTCTGTCCCAAAAATAAATAAAAAACGTTGAAAAAAAAACATAGTAAAGAGACTACAATGTACAAAGTGTGCTAAATATTACCAGTTATGTTATCATGATGGATTTCCTCCCTGCTTTTTATATTTTGTATTTTTCCAACTTTTCTGCAAAGAGCAGATATTTTGATATTTTGAAGGGAAAAGCAATAATTGAAGCTTAGCTTATTTTCTGGCTCTTCAGGTTATTTTCTTAATATAGGTTAATAATTAGCCTTTTGATCAAATCTATCCACCTTTACATTTCTTAATTTTCATGTCTATCTCCATTCAGTTCTCTAAAAATTATAAATAGAAAAAAATTGGGTGATACTTTTCTAGGCTTTCAGTCTGTAGTTACTTCCCAGTTAATTTTCCCCACTCTTATTTCTCTCCCAGGTTTGGGGATGCTGTGAAAGGTAATCTGGTGGTGGGTACCTTATCTTGGCCATCCCCATGGGTGATTGTTATTGGCTCCTTCTTCTCCACATGTGGGGCTGGACTTCAGAGTCTCACAGGTGCACCAAGGCTGCTCCAGGCTATAGCCAAGGATAACATCATACCCTTTCTGAGGGTGAGTGATCTTTCCCATGCCCTCTTCTTTTTTTCTCAGATTTTATGAGAAACTGTCATCTTCATATGCTTACGAATTATTAGAGCATATAATACGAAGATCTGGGTTTTTAGTACAAAACACTCTAAATCTCTATGAGGGATGAGTTTATATGTGAGTGGGTAAAGGTATTTTTAAAAATATCACAGTTGGGAGTTTGGGTTTGGGGTTTTTGTTTTTTGTTTTTTTTTTTTGAGAGAGAGAGCGTAAGCAGGAGAGGGACAGGGAGAGGGGAGGGGGGAACAGAGGATCCAAATCAGGCTCTGCGTGCTGACAGCAGCAAGCCACAGTAGGATGCTCAACCGACTGAGCCACCCAGGCACCCCGAAATATCAACAGTCGTTAACACCATCATCTTTCATATATCTGAAACTGTAACATAGAGAAATCAGGGAGCATTGACTCAAACACTTCCCACATTCCTGTGTCTGATATTTCCCTTCTCTGTACAGGTTTTTGGTCACAGCAAAGCCAATGGGGAACCTACCTGGGCTTTACTTCTAACTGCCGCCATTGCAGAGCTGGGAATCCTTATCGCCTCCCTGGATCTTGTGGCCCCAATTCTTTCTATGTAAGAGCTAGTTCCTCTCTTCACTTTTTCTTGCTTAAATGATACATAATACATGTTGATTTCCATCAGGTGTATAACAATTGTGGTAAAAGAGTGAGCCAAGTACTGGTATAACTTCACCTAAATAGTATATATTGCTAAGAAGTTTCGTGTAAGGCTTTTATAAATTGTCATGGTTTCTTCCTACCTGTATAACTTGAAAAGTTCTTTTCCTTCCTTTGTGATTCATCATCAACTAGTTGTAGTTTTTACTGCTACTGTTAGGTTGGATCCTTTAGCTGGGACTTAGTGTTGACTTAATACCTACCTGGCACTGGGCAGCATGGTAGGAATACAGAGGTGAATGACACAATCCTAAGAAACTGATGATAGATGAAGAGACCAGTGATCTTTGTACAGTGTGATGAGAACTGTGGTAAAGGTGAACAGCGTCATAAGAACTCTAAAGGGAGGCACCTAAGTGGACTGAGACTCAAGAAAGGTTTACTACTTGCATCTTGAAGGAGGACTGGTGATTAACTCAGCAACTGGATAGTGAGATGTCCCAGGCATGGAATGTGTGTGAAGGAACTGAGGAATGAGATAATGTAGCACATCTGAGGATTGAAAGTAGTTTGGCTTAATAGAATGGAGGGTGCCTGTTGTGAGCTAGCTGAGCAGAGAAGTAGGTAGAGCCAGGTCACAAAAGACCTAGAACTTTTACCTGGAGGGAGGGAATGATCCTTTGAGAAGAGAATGGCCATATTTATGGTTTAGAATGATCAATTTGGTATAAAAGATAAGTGTGAAGGAGGCTAAAATTGAGCTGGGAATGAATGCTAACTGGAAGCTTATTTAACTAATCCAGCAAGGAATAAATGAGAGCCTGAACAAAGATAATAGTAATAGAGATGGGAAGGAGGGAAAAGGTTTAGAAATGTGTAAATAGGTAGAATCCAAAGGACTTGATAAGTCAATTTGGAACAAGGATGTGTAACAAAGAGGACACTGGGATTTTTCCAAGAACAACTGGTTAAAGAGTGGTTGTGTCTTCACTGAAGGAGAACACAGGAAAATGAGCAAGTTTGTGGGGAGAAGTTTAAGTTTCTCTACATCCTAGTCTTAATCAGGGGCTAGTGGGCTAGAACAGAGGCTTAAATACAACAAAGGTCTCCATTTAAAATAATGCCCGGTGGCTTAGTCAGTTGAGCATCTGACTCTTGGTTTTGGCTTAGGGTCTGATCTCACAGTTCATAGGTTCCAGCCCCACACTGAGCTTCATGCTGACAGCATGGAGCCTTCTTGGGATTCTCTTGTCTCCCTCTCTCTCTCAAAAATTAATAAATAAACTCAAAAAAATAAAATAACCCTTGAAGAATCATTTTACAGTAATCTTCATGCCTCTTACTTTGTTTAATCTGCCAGGTTTTTCCTCATGTGTTACCTCTTTGTGAACTTGGCATGTGCCTTGCAAACATTACTTCGAACACCCAACTGGAGACCCCGGTTTCGCTACTACCACTGGTAAGTCTGCTCTTTTTCTTCTTCTTTCCCACATTTGGAGAGAACCCATCATTGAACTAGGAAACTAGGAGATTCTGGGTTGTCAATATAATTTTTCTTGGTCAGCCATTCCATACTGTTGCGACTTGCAGTGCTTACCTGAATTTCCATCATCCTACCATGTTTTCTTCATAGGTCACTTTATAACTTCTAACACCCACTTGAGGATAAAGATCAAAACTATGAAATAAATATTTCCGGCCTGCTGCATTCTTCAGGTTAAACCAACCTACCCTTTGCAGATCTGTTTTCTGTTTACCTCTTAGCTAAGCACTGGACTTCATCCCTTTCTATCTTTATTCTCATACTGTCATCCATTTTCATTCTCGAACTCTCTTTTGTCAGTTTCATTTAGCAGGTAAGAACACGAGCTATAGAGTCAGATGACCTTAGCTTAATGTCAGCTCTACTGTTTCATAGCTTTGTAACTTTAAAAAAAATTTTTTTTTTAACGTTTATTTATTTTTGGGACAGAGAGAGACAGAGCATGAGCGGGGGAGGGGCAGAGAGAGGGGGAGACACAGAATCGGAAACAGGCTCCAGGCTCTGAGCCATCAGCCCAGAGCCTGACACGGGGCTCGAACTCACGGACAGTGAGATCGTGACCTGAGCTGAAGTCAGACGCTTAACCGACTGCGCCACCCAGGCGCCCCCATAGCTTTGTAACTTTTAACAAAGCACATAACCACCCAGAATTCAAGTTTATTCATTTGTAGAATGGGACTGATAGTATTACGTATCCCACAGGGTTGCTTTGAGATGATCTGAAGTGTTCAGCACAGTGCCTGCTACGTGGTGAAACTCTCAGTGGAAACGTCACTACAGCCGCTGCTGCTGTGTTGGCATCTCCTCAGTCCTAAAGGAGTCATTACGCTTTTCGCTGCCATCCCAGCTCTTCCTCATTTCTTTTCTGTCATGGCTAAAGGTTCTCTAATAGGTCCCATATGGACCTGTTGCTACATTCCTCTTTGCTTTTTCTTTGACCCTTTCCTGGCTTTACTTACCAGTGATGAGCAGTAATGTGACCTTTATCTGGCAGAAAATTAGATCCTCACTGATTTTATCGCCTCTAATCCAATTTCTAGCTTTAACCTTAATCAAAAGTTCACTGTGAATTTTTTTGTTACTATTTTGCTTTTGTTTTCTCTTTATCCTGTTTTTACTGGAGCCTTATCTTTCCAGATTGAGCTCTCCTGCTCATTCTTTGAGATTCATCATAGAGCTAAGAAGTTCATTCTATACACAGAAGAACTGCAATAAACATGATTGTTCACCTAATCTATTTGCTTAAAACAAGCATTTTATCATTCTCTGCCATGTTTCTCTTATGTAAAGTAAGAAAACTAACACCAGCTTTCCTTCAGTGGGTTCTACACGTATGCTAATAAACATTCATAAGGTAAAGATCAATATCTACATGAAATATCTACATGAAATACTTTTTTTAGAGATCATCACGTTAATAATTCTGACTATATGCCCATCCCTGTTTCACCTAGTAGGTATTAATTATCCTCACAACTACAGATAACTTTTGTTGAATCATGGTTATTTATATGTTTTTCCAGCAATGGGACATATCAGCACAAAGGATGGTTTGGGCCTCAGCGCAGGCCACGATAAAACAACTATAAAAATTGAGAAATAACATTTAGAAACTTTTATAGCAATTTGACATTGTCATAGCATCCAGGCATATAGTAATTTTTCTAACAAATCCTTTTTATTGCATTTTACAAAAGTTCACTCTGTAATATATTAGAATTAAAAAATTAATAACAATTTCTCACCAGTTTGAGAAGCACCTCTAGCATAGGCTTCTTTTTTAGTTGCTTAGGAAAGCACTTTTTTCGTTTGTGTTTTTGTTTTTAATTTTCTAGGGCCCTCTCTTTCATGGGAATGAGTATCTGTCTGGCTCTGATGTTCATTTCTTCCTGGTATTACGCTATTGTAGCTATGGTGATAGCTGGTATGATCTACAAGTACATCGAGTACCAAGGGTGAGTTTGTGGATGTGACCTTGATTACTGATAAAAGTATCCACACCAACTACTTTGGTTAGAGCCAGCCCAATGGAAATTGCATTAAGGATCCAGATAACCTCATTCATCTGTAACTAAATTTTGTATCCCCGACTCTCCTAGCCGTCTTACAAGACACAAGCTTACAGATACAACAAAGGGAACCTATTGAGAAAATATGAACAGATCAGTGAAAAAAAATAACTAAAAGGACATGTCGAAATAATAATGATAAGTATGAAAGTATAACACAAATATAAATACTTTTGCTTATCGCCTCAGTCAAGGTATTGTTTTTGAAATGAAAAAGAAGTTAATTCTGAAAAACTGTAACAACTAAGACTTCAGTAATTTACTCCAAAAATTAGGAGTAAATAACACTCTGGTTCAGAAGATTACATTGAGTTTCACTTTCTCTCCATTATTTTCAGAGTAAATTGAACTTTGGGTCTGCAGTCATTTTATTCTCCAAATTGCTATTTTACATTATTGCTTTTAACAGGTACATAGAAGGACAAATGAGTGATCCTTCCAGCCTTTATTTTGAACTATTTATTGTGCAGTGCAGTCCATCACTGAAGGGCAGTGCGGATCTGCTTATAGCGGGTTCATTATGTTAATAAAGAGCATTTAGTTAATATGAGTTTTAATTTTCTGTCTTGTGCAAATGTTACTTTAAGATAAAGAAAAAATAAACTTTATGTTTTGAAACTGTACTTCCTGTAGTTTAAATCTGTCTCTACTCTTTTCTTTTTTTCTCCCAGAGCGGAGAAAGAATGGGGTGATGGAATCCGTGGGCTGTCCCTCAGTGCAGCCCGATTTGCTTTGCTTCGGCTGGAGGAAGGACCTCCACACACTAAAAACTGGAGGTAAAGAAATCAACAGAGCCTAGTGGTGTGGTGTTTGGCACATGGTTAACACACCCAACCGTGTGCTTCAGGATGACAGGATAAGGAATCGAGGCGGCTCAAAGAACTGGTGTAATATATCTGTTTTGAACAATTCCAAATCCTTCATCTTGATTCCCTTTTCTTCTTGTGGTGTCTGATCTAGACTTCTACCATTTTTATTGTTTGTTGCAGATTGATCAATCTGCAGTGATACTGCAGTGATACAGGATTCAAAATCACTATACCCTCATCCTGTCCTTTCCTTTCGTTTAATCTCTCCCTTCTGCCCAGTTACATGTTTTATCCAGATCTCCTCAAGTAAATGCTAGAATCCTCATTCTGTTCCCCAAACCGAAAGTCTTTTCTCCTTCCCCACCCCACCCCCCCTGCCAACCTCTTTACAGGCCTCAGTTGCTTGTATTGCTGAAACTAGATGAAGACTTACACGTCAAGCATCCTCGCCTCCTCACCTTTGCTTCACAGCTTAAAGCAGGAAAGGGCCTCACTATTGTGGGCTCTGTTATCGTGGGGAACTTCCTGGAGAACTACGGGGAAGCTCTAGCTGCTGAGCAGGTAAGAAAGAGTCAAGGCCTACTGACTTAGTGGAATGTATCTTATGGTTTTGTGATGTAAAGTTATAAGATGTTGTATTTCTAAATTAATCCCTTTCCTGAGTGATCCAGGTTGTTTCCTTCTTGGTGCTTGCTTTCGAACAATCATATTCTCCCAAATAATAAGATGAACCAGAAAACAGTAATTTATTCTTTCTATTTAGAGAGCACTACTGGGGCACCTGGTGGGTCAGTCAGTTAAGCATCCAGCTCTTGATTTTGGCTCAGGTCGTGATCTCAGGGTTCATGAGATCATCGGGCTCTGTGCTGACAGCATGGAGCCTGCTTAGGATTCTCTCTCTCCCTCTCTCTCTCTCTCTCTGCCCCTCCCCCCTTCAAAATAAACAAACATTTAAAAATAAATAAATAAAAATAAAAAGCACTACTAAACTCTTAAGATTATTAAGGCTGAGCACTATTTCCAAACATTGGTTGAGTCAGGCCTCAGAGAGGTCCTTTAAATAAGTCTGTCCCTTGAACTATGGAGATGGTTCTGCTCAATCTGGTGACAACAAAGAGTGGTAAACAACTTTTTTTCCTCCTTAGCAGTCTACATGGTATTGTGAGCAAGATTCCTTTGCTTTACTTCTGGTTAACTTGCCAAGTATAAGCTCTCCTTAAAGAAGAAAGCAGTTTTCACTCTAATGCTTATTATAATTGATAGAACTAACAATAATTAATTGATAAATAATAATTGATAGAATTATCAATTAATTATCAATAATTATCAATTATCAATTTATCTATCAATAAATAATTGATAGAACTAATTGTTCGGACAGATGTTCAATTACATTTCAAAAATTTTACTGGGTTGCATTTTGGAATACTTTGAAACCCTAAAAACTAGAAATAATGAAGAAGCATTAGTGCAGGATGATAAATATAAATAAAAAGCACAGGATTGGAAATCAAGAGACCTTGCTTATAGTACCCTAGCTACACCACTGATGTAATCTGTGCCTTTGGGAAAATCATTTCTTCTTTCTGCACCATTATTCCCTTCACCTTTCCACCAGGAGAGCAGAGTAAAAGTAAATGAAATATTATCTCCAAATTGGCCTGAATAAATAATAGTAAAGCAAAGACAAGTGTCATCAATAATCATTTTTAAAATATCAAAAAAGATACAGAAATAGGAGAAACCAAAAAGAAAACATACCTGAAAAGAAAACAAAATTCTTAAGTGAAACTGAATCATCAGATTGAATTTCTAGTAATATGAGTCAGGGTATCAAGGCAATTGAGGAAAGAAGGAGATCGTGTTTACACTCACCCTAGCCGGTTAAGAAAGAGTATTGAATATTTGCTTTGTGAAACCCCTGTTCTTGATTTGTCTTGTATGTTACAGAGAAGGAAAAGGCAGAAACTCCCTATAGTCAACCAGCAGTATGTGTAGTAAGCACTTAGAGAAGAAGGCAAAGGATAATGAAATTCCATCGGATTAATTTTAACTTTTTGGACGTTTCTGTAGGAGATATGGTCTTATGCAGAGTTTGTTAAAGAGGAGGAGAATATAATAAAGAGAAGAGTAATAAATAAAAAGGTTCAGTGTGAAGTAATTCAGTGTTGAGGTTATCTTTTCCAGACCATAAAGCATCTAATGGAGGCAGAGAAGGTGAAAGGGTTCTGCCAGCTGGTGGTGGCGGCCAAGCTGAGAGAGGGCATTTCCCACCTCATCCAGTCATGTGGCCTTGGGGGCATGAAGCACAACACCGTGGTGATGGGATGGCCTAATGGCTGGCGCCAGAGTGAAGATGCTCGAGCTTGGAAGACTTTTATTGGTACAGAACACTTTTCATTTTATCCTGAGGGCCCAAAGAGGGGATAGACCTATATCCCTGTTACCTTAACCCCACCCCATAGCCTCCTAAAGTGGAGATTGTGCCATTGTTGAAGCAGAGTATTATAAGGGCACCTAAATGACTGCTAACAGTAATAACCTTACTCTACTCACCCCTCCACCTTTACCTTATGTTCATGAATTGTTTATCTCTGTCATGTATTATGTTGGGAGTTATTACTGAAATTGCCATATTTTCACTTACGATCTCCTATCATTGACATTCTCACAGGAATTGGAAGGATCGTCTTTAATCAAAATCTCCAAAATTCACATATCCTGCCTCCTCCCCAGAAATGTAGTGATCAGAATATATCTAGTAACATAAATCATGGTTCTGAATCTAATTGTGTTATTCAGGTTTTTCTCAATGATTGTTGTTGCTCGATGAGGTATAACCTACTATGTAAACAGAACACCTTGCTTAAAGAAGTGTAAAAAAAAAAAAAGTAAGGGCACCTGCTTGGCTTAGTCAGTTAAGTGTCCACCTCTTGGTTGCAGTTCAGGTCATGATCTCACGGTTCGTGGGATCAAGCCCCATGTCGGGCTTTGTGCTGAGAGTGCGGAGCCTGCTTGGGATTCTCTCTCTCCCTCTCTCTGCCCCTCCCCCACTCATGCGCGCTCTCTCTCTCTCTCTCTCTCTCTCTCTCTCTCTCTCTCTCTCAAAATAAATAAACTTAAAAAAAAGTGTAAAAAAAAGCATTATCCTTGGGGCACTTGGGTGGCTCAGTCAGTTAAGCAGCTGACTCTTGATTTTGGCTCAGGTCATGATCTCATAGTTCATTAGATCAGGCCCCATGTCAGGCTCTGCACTGGTAGCTCAAAGCCTGCTTAGGATTCTCTCTCTGTCCCTCTCTGCCCCTCCCCTGTGCTCTCTCTCTTGCTCTCTCTCTCTGTCTCAAAATAAATAAACAATCTGACATGGTGGGAAGCAAGGCAGGCCTCTCTGTTGATCCTGATTCTGTTTTCTCCCTAGGTACAGTTCGAGTGACAACTGCTGCCCATCTGGCCCTGCTGGTGGCTAAAAACATCTCCTTCTTTCCCAGCAACGTGGAGCAGTTTTCTGAGGGCAACATTGATGTGTGGTGGATTGTGCATGATGGGGGGATGCTCATGCTCTTACCATTCCTACTTAAACAGCACAAGGTATTTTAGACACTTTTTGAAAAAAGTCTATCTCCCTTAAGTTTTGTCCTGGTTCACTAGTCAGATCCTTCCTCTTTGATTCTATAGTGTTGGGGCTTAGGATCAGAAGAGTTGGGGATTATTCTTAGCTTTCCCATGATCCCAGTTTCAACCTTATGAGAAATGGTTTTGTAGTTGGTACCTACCTATTTCCACATGAAATTCAGCAAATTAATAAAGTTCCATATGAGCCGCTGGAAAAACATTAACAAATGAACACATCTGTTAAAAAAAAAAAAATACCAAAGTCTCTCAAATACTGGAAACCTACATACAGGTGTATGGGTGTGTGTGTATCTCATATACATGCTCAGGGAGACTGGGTGGCTCAGGCAGTTAAGCATCCAACTTCGGCTTAGGTCACGATCTCACTGTGAGTTGGGGACCTACCTGGGACTCTCTGCTGTCAGTGCGGAGCCCGCTTCAGATCCTCTGTCCCCCTCTCTCTGCCCTTCCCCCACTTGCACTTTTTTTTCTCTCTCTCAAAAATAAAAAAATAAACATTATATATATACTCATCCTTTGGTAAGACTAATTAAACTGAAATTAAAAATAGTAAGGGGCGCCTGGGTGGTTCAGTCAGTTAAGCGTCCAACTTTGGCCCAGGTCATGATCTCATGGAGAGTTCGAGCCCTGCATCAGGCTCAATGCTAACAGCTCAGAGCCTGGAGCCCACTATGGATTCTGTGTCTCCCTTTCTGTCTGCTCCTGCCCTGCTCGCTCACTCGCTCTCTCTCTCTCTCTCTCTCCCCTTCAAAAATAAATAAACTTTCAAAAAAAAAAAAACTTAAAAAAAAATAGTTAGCTATTATAGTTTCTCTGGTACCATCAGTATTCTACCTGAATACAGCACCCTCTTAAGGTATCATATATCATCTTTTGCCAGTTTTTTTCTTGTTAGGAAATTAAGAACCTCTTTAAAATGTTTTAAATGTGTTTCTTAGTCAAGCTTTTGCCCCAGTACCATAATTTAGCAAGTAAGAAACTGGAAACAAATACCCTGATACTACAGCAAGGTTGTCTAAAAAAATGGCTTGCGTTTTAGGAAATAATTCTTTTTTTTTTTGCCTTCTTGCCTCTCACTTTCCATTTCTGTATGGTAATTTCTCAGGTGTGGCGAAAATGCAGCATACGGATCTTCACAGTAGCCCAGTTAGAAGACAATAGTATTCAGATGAAGAAGGACCTGGCCACCTTCCTCTATCACCTGCGCATTGAGGCAGAGGTGGAGGTGGTGGAGATGGTGAGAAAGAGTTTGAGATCACAAAGACCACCCTTCCCCCACTTCCTACCCTGTCTTCCTAGAGCTTTTTCTGGTTTGGGAACTTGTTCAGCTGCAAATATGAATTAATCCCTTGGTTCCAACAAACCCCTAATATAGTGATCGAGAGAAGTGACTATGTATGTGATGTGTATTTGGTGGTGTTTTTAATTTTTGCTTTCTTAGTTGTGACACATTCTTTGTATTTTGGCCAGATTCTTGTCTGCTTAATACAGGTTTTTTTTAATTTTAATTTATTGGGGCGCCTGGGTGGCTCAGTCGGTTAGGTAGCCGACTTCGGCTCAGGTCATGATCTCACGGTCTGTGAGTTCGAGCCCCACGTCAGGCTCTGTGCTGACAGCTCAGAGCCTGGAGCCTGTTCCGAATTCTGTGTCTCCCTCTCTCTGACCCTCCCCCGTTCATGCTCTGTCTCTCCCTGTCTCAAAAATAAATAAAACGTCAAAAAAAAAATTTTTTTTAATTTATGTACGCGTGGTAAAGTCACACATAGCTTTTTGTTTTGTTTTGTTTTGCTTTAATAACCTGGCAGTAAAAAGAAAATTTTTTTTTTTTTTTTCAACGTTTATTTATTTTTGGGACAGAGACCAGGCTTGGTGGCCAGAGAAGGAGAGAACCTGGGAATGAAAATGCTCAAACTCGAGCCATCAGCAGAGCCTGACGAAGAACTCAACCGAACCCGTGAATAAACTCGACCTGGTTGAGGGTCGGTGGCTTTCGCCTGGCAAAGCCCACAAGAAGAGTTTGTGCTTTGGAAACATATGTAATGGTTAGCTTATGGAAGACTCTCAGGGCTTCTATATTTGATCTACAGTCCATAAAATTACATAGCTCAGTGCCTGGACAAAACAGGGGTGAAACTTAAGTTGATGTTGTGATACTTTCTCTGGTTTAGTGAGTGGAAAAGAAAACTATGGCTGATCCTTGTTTCTCCTTTGTGCTTATTGCCCATGCTGCGTGTGATCCGTGGCAGCATGACAGTGACATTTCAGCTTATACTTATGAGCGCACCCTGATGATGGAGCAGAGATCCCAGATGCTCCGGCACATGCGACTGTCCAAAACCGAGCGGGACAGAGAGGTGAGACCTTCCTGTATTCATTGAATACTGGCCCTGTGAAGTCTTGTCACTGAAAGGGATGATCCTCTATTGTTCTCCTAGGATGACAGATTCTTTCCTTCCCACTTTATCAGTTCTTCCACTGTAACCCTACATTATTGTTTGAAAATAATTGAAGCTGAAGCATGAGAGAAATTTGGGTATAGAGGTCATGGCTGTGTTGGGCCCTCCTCAGGCACAGTTGGTGAAAGACCGGAACTCAATGCTGCGATTGACCAGCATTGGCTCTGATGAGGATGAAGAGACAGAAACCTATCAGGAGAAGGTGCACATGACTTGGACAAAAGACAAGTACATGGCATCCCGGGGACAAAAGGCCAAGTCGATGGAAGGATTCCAGGACCTGCTTAACATGCGTCCGTAAGTTTTCCAACTCACAAGCTTTTCACATAACATGGTATCCCAGTCAGTGGCATACATGTGACTTTGCCTGGATACACAGGATAAAGTCTGTTCATTCCACACCAAATCCAGCCATCTCTGTTATTTCCCTGTGCATACCAGCTACCAGTTAACATTGTACACAAGCTAACCACCCTTCTTCCTCACCATGTTCTGTTCCCGGCATAAAACAAGCAAACGTCGAATGAGAAAACCCAGGCCAGAATATTAAAATAAAGAAATCATTTGTTCATTGCATTATTCATAGTCATTGCAAAAAAGCTCTGTATCTCAAGGTTTTTAAAGTTAACTGTATGTCTAGCTTTCTCTTTGCCTTAACCACCTCTATTTCTCCCTTCCACCTGCCCAGGGACCAGTCCAATGTGAGAAGGATGCATACAGCAGTGAAACTCAATGAGGTTATAGTTAACAAGTCCCATGAAGCAAAGCTTGTTTTGTTGAATATGCCAGGGCCACCTCGAAACCCTGAGGGTGATGAAAACTGTATCCTTTCCAAGAGTGGGGTTATCAGTAAGGAAAATCTTAGCCTGTTTCTTAGATGAGACCACTAGGTAACCTTAAAAGTCATTGTCTGGGGGCGCCTGGGTGGCGCAGTCGGTTAAGCGTCCGACTTCAGCCAGGTCACGATCTTGCGGTCCGTGAGTTCGAGCCCCGCATCAGGCTCTGGGCTGATGGCTCAGAGCCTAGAGCCTGTTTCCGATACTGTGTCTCCCTCTCTCTCTGACCCTCCCCCGTTCATGCTCTGTCTCTCTCTGTCCCAAAAATAAATAAAAACGTTGAAAAAAAAAATTAAAAAAAAAAAAATCATTGTCTGTGCCCACATTTCCCTCTTGAGGAGGGAAGGCTGTTAAAAGTCTTAGGCAAGGATTCTTACAAAGTAGTGAGAGTAATCTCCTTTTGGGGAGGTGGGTGTATATGTTCTCTCTGAACCCTAAAAAGACTTTATAGGTGGTAAATTTGCATCATGACTTCTAATATTTCATGGTATAGAACCCTTTCTGACAGTCCCAGAGACAGAGTACCCACATCCTTTCTCCTTTTCAAGCTCTACCCACTTTGCAAAGCTCCTGTGGATGGAGTTAGGGGAGAAGCAGTGGAGTGGAACCTCCTTCAAGGGGAAAAAGAGATAAGGGTTTTTCCTCAGACCCTCATCCCAGGATTGCTTTCATGGGGCCCCTTCAGAACGGCAATGGTGTAGACTGGCCCATTTGCACCAGTACCACTAAGCCAAAAAAGATTAAGAAAAAAAGAATTGGCAGAAAAATCTGACTTGAGCAGCTTCACTTAGAAATTACTTGGGTTCTCTCTAGCAGTCTTCTAAGCTGCCCTGTTGTGACTTTTTCTTCTTTTTTGGCTTATTTTGCTATGTGGTATGAACATGTTATTTGTGGTTTTCCTCCATTTTTTTAAGTAACGTTTAGAAAAAAATCTAACAAATAGAGATCTTGTATTATACATGCAAAGGGACTAGATTCCTGGATTATTTCACAGGGTTAAATGGACTCCAGAGTTCAGATCTCTCCAATTCTTAGTATATAGTAAGTAAAACAAGCATGTTGATTTTGCAAGTTTGTAGTCAGATAAACCCAGATTATCATGTCAGGTTATAAAAATGTGCTTTTCTCCCACCTGTTTGTCTCCTTGACAAATTCTGAAGACATGGAGTTCCTAGAAGTGCTCACCGAGGGACTAGAGCGAGTCCTCCTTGTCCGAGGTGGTGGCAGTGAAGTGATCACCATTTATTCATAATCTACTCCTGAGTGACTCTGCTTGGCCTCACCTTTCCTAAAAGGCTTCCATCCTTCGTGGAAGTGCCAGCTCTTTACTACTACTCCCATCAAGTAGGCCTGGGTTCTGTACACATCACACTGAACTCTCGACAGGCTGAGCCTCAAGTACTTGTGCAAAAAAAGTACAAATAGTTCTGCTCTTTGCTGTCATATGATCTGCCATCCTTACAGAAGAAGCAGATATTCCCTCAACATTGGAACACTGGTCAAGTCCTAAAAGCCATGTCTGTCCCAGTTGAAGTCAAGTTAGAATTAACAAGCTAAACCAATAAAAATGAATTGGCAAAAGGGATGCTAGAAATTCAACTGAAGACCGAAAGCAAGTACAGGTCCAACATTAAAGGGAAGTCTCAGAAGTCATGGTCCAGTGATGACACCATGGGGGTAACAGCCAGAGGACACAGCTTCATCATACTAAAGAAATCACAGCCAAGTATACGGGGACCTAACATCCTTGTGGAGATAACCTGTGGCAAACCAAGATGAAAACCTTTTTTAGCTAATTTTCTTTAATGAATCCACTGTTCTCCAGGACTCTGATTTTCTGTTAGGGTACTAATATACAAAAACTGACACATGGCTGCAGCCTTTACTTCTTCCTCCAAAATAAGATTCTCCCCAAATACCAGGTTTAAGTACATATACTATGTTGGTGTATATATATGTGTGTGTGTGTGTGTGTGTGTGTGTGTGTGTGTGTGTGTGTGTGTGTATTTATACACACACATATATGTAGGTGTGTATATATATGCATATATATGTGTGTATACATATACATGTACATATATGTATATATACATGTGTATACACATATATACATGTATATATACATATATGTACATGTATATGTATACACACACATATATATATCAGCTGGTTCTCAAAATCGATTGTGGTTAAGATTTTAATACAAGCATTATTATCCTGGAAATTGTTTTTTAAAGTTGGAGTGGAAAATTTTCTTTCAGGCTGTGTTCAAATGGCCAAATTAAGGTAACTCCAAATGGTAGCTGTTAAGGTCTACTGAAACACAGTCTGTGGTTACCTATGCGACAAGGGCAAACATTAAAGTTGTTATCTAGGAAACCTAGATGATGATGCATAGTGCCCAACAGTTTCTCCTCTCCCTTTTTTTTATGCCCTCTGGGTTGGTAGGCAGGCATAGGTCAAAAATCAGGAACAAACACTAGGAAGACTGGCTGAAATCCTTCCCTAAAAGCGTTGGACTGTCTTTTAAAGGGGGAATCTAGCAATGGGATTTGAAGTTCCAGAGCCATACTCCTTCCATAGTGCCAAAGATTGAGCTGCTGCTCCTCTACCTACCTGCTTCACTAAAGTGGCATATGATTGGCATTGGCCTGATTGAAGAAACTTCTTTCACTAAGAATCCTGTGGACTCATTTCCAAAGCCATAGCAAAGACTTGAGGCACTCACCTAAATGCCCACAGTATGAGCAGTTTTCTTTTCTCAATTCTATTCTTGTGACTGCAGAAACTTGGCTTTGAACTAAGACTATCCAAGCCAGCAGTCTTCTGCTATAACAGTTGTTTTCAGAAAGCTCTAAATGTGTCAAGGAAATACTTGTGCAAGCTAAGCTTTTTATTTGCTCATTTACTGGTCATTAAAACACCTGGCTTTCAAGCATAGGGAAACCACCTTGAGTAGTAATTGCAAATATGTGAAATGTTCATTTCTTTTATAGGATAAGTATTTAGAGAAACTATCTTAACTGTATTCATGACTGATTTTGAATCACTTTATTAATAATAAATAGTGCCACTCTTTTTTGATTACTCAATAGGATTTGGAGGAAGCAAACCTAGGTATCAGCAGACTATTCATTTGACTGTTACGGGGCAGAGGAGAAAACTCTTCAGTATGGCTTCAGAAATTGAGTCATTTTGTTCCCTTTGCTCTTTTTTCAACCTCAAGACCCAGTCAGGGTAGCAAAGCAGACACAATCTTTAAGTCTTTTTCCTGCTCCTTCCTGCAGAGGGTAGAAGCATTGTTTACAATTTCCACCGTAATACTCCATTGTTGAATTGAGTCCACAGTAGTGGGATAGGTTTCTTAGGACCCAAGATATCGACACCCCAGTCTTTAAAGGTCAGCCTACCCAGGAATTCCTCTACATTTACACACATCCTCTGGCCAAAGTAGTTGATCTTTTTTTTTTTTCCATATAGAAAAAATATGGGCAGAAAACAAGGTTTTAGAAGAGCTTTTTGTGGTTGGAGCTCTATAAGAATCTTTTAAAAGGGATAACGGAGTTAGTGGCTACTAGTAACAGCCGCTACTTCAGCCCTTAAAACATACAATCACCATTATGTGGGAAAATGGTTATTAGGCCAGATTTAAACTCATCTCCGTCTAGAGCATTTCATGTCCGTGTGTTGCTTATGTTGTTTGTCTGCAAAGTGTCTTGTCTCTTCTAATCACTGCAAATAAAGCAATACTGAAAACTTGATAAGAGAATGCACCTTAGGGGAAGGGGCTTTTATGTTTCAAGAAGGAAGAGAAAGGAAAGACCTCTTCCTGCCTTTTGAGTAAGATTCAGCTTTTAAGTCTCAGCTATGATTTACCAGGGCAGATTATGACAATATCCATTCTCCAGATGCTGGCCCTCTGCCTTCTAAAGCTATCTTAAAAGCTGAGGTTTGAATTGCAGCATCTGCTTGACAGATGCCAGGTTCCTCTTGGCAGGGGAAAGATCATTACTGTGTATCTTCCTTTGCCTCAGATGGCTGTGGCCCCGACTATCCCGCCAATCCTCACGCCCCCTACATGTGTTAAAAATCCATTATTGTGGATATTAAAGTAGCGATTACACTGTAAGCATATTTACGTGCCCTTTTTGTCTGGTTTATTTTTCTTTTCATCATGTATAATCTGAATCCAGCATTAGTTTCTTACATCTTCCACAAGTGTCTCCAACAGAATTTTTATGTTCCAGCTTGTGTTAAATAGAAGTGAAATATTAAGGAAAATAGATTTAAGGGAAACTTGTGCAACTTTTTTTTAAGCATTGTTCTCGACCATTTAATTTATTGAAAGGAGCTGCTGCTGTGGTTCTCGATTTAGCAGCGGCCATTCTTTTGTTTACATAGAGTTACAGTTTTATTTGTTGTTTTGCTCTGTACTGGAAACATAAATAAAGTTTTCTACATTATTTTCAGTCAAGGGTTGTAGTATGGTTTGTGTGTGTAGTGATACATACTTGTCTTTCTGGGCCTCACCATGGAGAAAAGAGAGCTTTGGGTTCTTGTTGGCATGAGTGATCATGTGAAGAGTAAGTATGTGAAGGAGGAGCCACTGGACATGAAAAGGTTGTAAATGGGATCCTGATACAAAGGCACCAGGTACTTCTTTCTCAGGTTCACAGAAGCAGTCCTCCACCACTGAACTCCATCCTCTGAAACAAGAAAAGGTGAAGGGGTGTTGAACTAACTCCTGGAATCAAGTACAGTTACTTTATTTAATCACAGGCTCTATTTCACTTTATCCTTAAAAAATAACAACTTCCAAACTCCCAAGGAATCTTATTTCTTAAAAAATAAGCTCTAGTACCAACTCAAATCCTCCACCCTCAAATGGGTCAACTATTTACAACTGTCCCAAATTGAACTTTTCTTTTGGCTTACCTCAGGGGGCTCAATGAAGGCTAACCAATCTGATGCATGTGTAGGCAACAGTCCCATTGACTGGCACTTATAAACAGCCAGTGCCAAACCCATGAGGTTTCCAATGAGATACACCAAACCCTGCAGAAACTTCTGACTTGAACTTTCTAGCATCTTGAAAGCTGTTGAGAGAACAAGCCAAGTTTTTTTTTTCCCCAATATGAATCAGGTCATTTATTAAAACAATATAGACCCAAAGAAAGAGAGCAAATAGGACCACTGAAGGTGAATAAAAAACCATGATAAGTTCCCTCCCCTCCATGCTGCCACCATTATCATCACCTCCCTGTACACCCCCCTCCACCCCACTGGCAACTAGCCAACAGCAGTACTAAAGATTTTCATGAGTTTCACCTAAGAATATGTCTTCAATTCTTAAAACTTAAGGAAGGGTTGTTATATCAAGAATACTTACTGGCTGAAATGGCCATAAGTGCCTGAATGGGCCGCCAAGCCATCATACACACCATCATAGTAGGGAAGATGGAGATAGTATTGCCTGCCATGTACATGATGAAGAGGTTCATGGGAATCTGTTTGAGGGGACCCAAGGCGATATCCCAGCAGCGCTAAAACAAACACAGTTTTAACTGATGATCTGTATCCTCCGTCCCACATTTGTCAGATCACTGATGTTAAGGTGAAGTGAACACAATTCCCAATTCTGTGCTTCTGAACCAACTCCTCAGTTCCACCACTTTTGCCCTTCATGTTGCCACAAGAAGCTTTCTCTTCCACTAAAGATAAGGCATCCTCAACATTTGTAGTATTTTTCCCCATTGGTTTTCCAGATGTTATTTTCCCCCCCATGATCTAACTAAAAAGAAAGACTTCCCTACTTTGGTTCTTGTACTTCTGCATCTATCATTGTCCCATCTACAACTGAAGAAATAGGTAAATCCACAAGATGGGAGTTAGCACATCACAATCAATAACTAAAAAAACAAACTGACAAATCAAGATATTGAAGTCCTGGGGGTGCCTAAGTGGCTCAGTTAGTTGAGCGTCCAGCTTTGGCTTGGGTCATGATCTCACGGTTCATGGGTTCAAGCCTCGCACTAGGCTCTCTACTGTCAGTGCGGAGCCCGCTTCAGATCCTCTGTCCCCCTCTCCCTCAGCCCCTCCCCTGCTCACACGCTCTCTCTCAAAAATAAACATAAAAAAGGAAAAAACAGATACAGAAGACCTGAATGACATTAACTTAACCCAACTGACATATACAGAACATTGCACCCAACACCTGTAGAATTCACTTTCTTTTCAAACATACTTGAGACA